TGGTCTTAAAAGAACCAGACAGACACCCTTCAACTTTAAGAAAAGGATCAGTGGGTCAGAATCTATCCAGACTGGTAACAGGTCATGAAATTACCACTTATATTACTATATGTCAACTATTTAAACACAAATGGCATCATAACTTTTGATCCCATTGGCCTTTCCAAAAGCCAAGCACACCATCACAATCCCCTTCAAAAACTGTTTAAGATGAGCTATAATACATAATTTTAGGACAATCAATTGCCCTGGTCAACTTCCAAAACCATCTGTATTTCATTTGGTGTCGCAATCTGGGCGGAGAGCCAAAATTAATACATTGCATTGCAACTTTTCAACTGAATTAATAATCCAATCACTGTGATTTAAACACCAAAATGATCAGAAAAACAAGCTGCATCTTTGTAGGGTAAATTTGTTGATCAGGTCACAGAATAACTTTATGTCACACCCAAATCTTGAATTAAAAATTTGACCTCTGACATCATCCGAATTACAAACTTGCACAGTTTTGTCAATACAAATCTGACACTGCTGAATCTTAGCTCATTAGAAAGGGCATACAATTTTGAACTAGAATCACAATTCACTTTTAATTTAACATCATAATTTCCCTTAAACATTCTTTAGTCACACTTGTGAAACTTTGAATACTTTCAACATATATCTTGGGTCCCAGAAATTAAACTTATGGGGCGAATTTGATTATCATGGTCAAAACTCACGGTCAAAATATGCTCAGAGGGGTAAGTGTCGCCACTACTGAAGACTCTCTTACTGCATCCATTAAACTGAAAGAATCACAAAGGAAAATAATATTTGCTTCAAGTCTTGATACCTTTTCATAAACTGGAGCACCTGCGATTTTGCTTACCTCCTCCTCCCGATCAATTCCATATAGTGGGTGGAGAATTTTCTGTGTCACTCAAGACCTTACATCAGCCTCAGAAAACCCACAAAATTCTGTAGGTTTGCCAAAATCAGAGGTGATGAAACCAGAAAAATATTCAAAAGCTGACGGTTCAAACATCTTTGGAGCCTGTAATGTGTTAGTTGTTGGCACATAAAGACACGTTCTTTTGTAAAGAGGATTCAAATCAGGCATCACCTTTGGCTACTCACAATGAAATTATGCTTTGTTCTAGTACTACTGAAAAGAGACCGTCTGTTCGGTCTCCTTTTCCTCGACTTAGGACGACACTGATGGCTAGCAGATGGAGTTTCTGCCAATTCTGAGGACATAGACATCATGTTCTTAAGGATTATGACGGGCTGAAATAAAAAAAGGAATGGATGAAACAAAGGATGCTTTTGCAGGTTAGATAATTACAAATTTACTGGATACTTAAATTAGCCCAAGCAGTAAAGGCGTGAAGAGAACCAACCTCCATTGTTTGATTGATACAAGATGTGGGTGATGATAATAATATTGAAGCAGACAACCAGGAAAATAGAAGCAACTGCTATAACTCACAGCCCATGGATCAGATACGTATAGAGAGGACGCGATCGCCAGAGTTATGTCGTCTGCATACAATGAACATAAACAAATTTGTCAACAACACCAACTTAGTCAAACTTGTTTCGAAATTTCGAAAACTAAATGTTCTATCAAGTGAAACACTTCACGAAGCCTAAATAATGATGTTTACACGTGTTAATAGCTTATAAAAACGATCACTATTGGCCAGATAGATAATATTAGATGTAAATAAACAAGTTCATGTGGTTACTCTACATAACATTTGAGGAAAATTTACGCATTAGAGGTGTAAGGCAGCTGGTTAAACATCAATTAGCACGCATTTTAAAGAGAAGAAACATTTAAGATGAAGATAAAGTGGCAAAACAGCTGAGTTTAGCTTATTTCGTTACAAGAAGTGCGGCACCCTAACCTTTACATTAGCAGACAGACCTCATATATTAAGATAGGTGGCATGACTTCCTTTTGGCATTAAAAAGTAAATATTACGTCAGAAAGATGCAGAATATTATTCCAAACATGTCAGTGTTTGAGTGAGTGCAATAGGATAAGAAGTCGCTTCGGAAAGTTAAAATTCCTACGAATCACCTTAGCCGATTACTCTGAGTAAACTTAGATAATGTACTTCTGGTGACAACTAACAGAAATATGATTTGTGATTTAAATCCTGGAAGAAGACAACCACCTCCTTTAGTCACCACAGTGTTCAGTGAATACCAAAAGAATCAAAAGACACTGTAAAGAAAATCTATCTTCTTAATAAAAAATAGGTTGATGGATTAAAGACCTTTTTACAGAATTATGACTTAAAACTGATCATACACAACAGAAATTGACTATCACCACTGAATTAAGCTCTTATTCCTTTATTTCAACACCAGCACCAGTTAGAAAAATGTAGCTGTAGTATTTCAGTTTGCTCTCTGCTATTCATTTTTCTGTCCGGTGAAAGCTTCTCCCTTGAATCACCAATTTTCAAACCTTCAAATGTACTGTCGCAAGCAAAGTAGAAATATCTACATTGCTCAACATTTTCTCAACTACTTGTCCCCAATAAATTATTCTTACACCAAATATCTACATTGTCCGTCCGGGGAAAGCTGATCCCTTCAGGGTGGCAGGGATTTATAATATTCCTACCATGTGTTTTGACAAAAAAAAACCTTTTGGAAGTTTGTCAGAAGCACTACAATTGGATGAAAATAATACAAGGAATTGGGTTACTTATAATTTGCTAAATGTACACAGCTTTCAGACCGACTTCCAGGTGAAAGCCTGGCATTTTGGCAGCTGATCTTAAATCTTTAAATTAACAAA